TTTTTTTTTTAATTTGTCGATCAGGTCTTTTTCAAAGATGTAGCTGGCTGTGATGAAGCGAAACAAGAAATCATGGAATTCGTTCACTTCCTGCAGAACCCCAAGAAGTACGAGGAGCTAGGCGCGAAAATCCCAAAAGGCGCCCTCCTTGTGGGCCCACCCGGGACCGGGAAAACCCTTCTCGCCAAGGCAACTGCCGGCGAATCCGGAGTGCCCTTCCTTTCCATATCCGGCTCGGATTTCATGGAGATGTTTGTTGGTGTGGGGCCCTCAAGGGTCCGAAGCCTATTCCAAGAGGCAAGACAGTGTGCCCCGAGCATAGTCTTCATCGATGAAATAGACGCCATTGGCCGAGCTCGTGGCCGTGGGGCTTTTTCCGGTGGGAATGACGAGCGTGAAAGCACGCTGAATCAGCTTCTCGTCGAGATGGATGGATTCGGGACAACTTCTGGTGTGGTTGTACTTGCAGGTACAAACCGGCCCGACATACTGGATAAGGCCTTGCTGAGGCCCGGGAGGTTTGACCGTCAGATCACGATCGACAAGCCCGATATTAAGGGACGGGATCAGATATTCCGTATCTATCTCAACAAGCTAAAGCTTGACCAGGAGCCTTCATACTACTCGCAGAGGCTTGCAGCTCTCACTCCTGGGTTTGCCGGGGCAGATATTGCTAACGTATGTAATGAAGCGGCCTTAATTGCTGCTAGGACCGAGAGCTCGATAATCACGATGCAGCATTTTGAGTCGGCTATTGATCGAGTGATCGGAGGCCTCGAGAAGAAGAACAAGGTATCCCGTTTTGTTTTCTTCAATTTATGTTGAAAGATGGCTGTGATTTTTCTCATTTGCAATTCTCCAATCATATGGGTTTCTCTCGTTCTTGGAAGAATCTAGGTAATCCGTTGGTAAGAAACGATGATAATATGATAGATAGTAAAATTAGGGTTGTTATCGAACCGAACTGTTCGCGAACAAAGGTCGTTTGTGTCCGATAACAACTCGTTCGTTTAGTAATCAATCTGAACTCGGACATTAAATTATGCTCGTTTAGTTATCGAACGAACATGAACAAGTTCGCAAACTAAACGAGCGTTCGCAAACAAAAAGGTATTTTATAATTTTATATATTATATATGGTACATACATATATAATATAATATATAAATATGGATATATATCAAATATTAAATAAAATAGCTTGTATGGTATTAAAAAAAAAAAATCAACAAACACGAACACGAATTTGTCGAACCAATAAACGAACGAATACGAACGAATTTTATTGTCAAATATTAAATGACTGAACATGAACATGGTAAAGTATTAGTCGAACTTGAGCTCGAAAACCTTAAACTCGGTTCGATTCAATTCGATAACAGACCTAAGTAAAAGTAACTTGGAGTTGTTGGTTTCGTGTAGGTTATCAGCAAGATGGAGAGGCGAACTGTAGCTTACCACGAATCTGGCCATGCCGTTGTCGGCTGGTTTCTAGAACATGCCGAGCCGTTGCTTAAAGTCACGATTGTCCCTCGTGGGACCGCAGCACTTGGTTTCGCTCAGTATGTTCCGAACGAAAACCTTCTCATGACCAAAGAGCAGCTCTTTGACATGACATGCATGACCCTCGGCGGCCGGGCCTCTGAGCAGGTAAAAGAAATTCGAATCATCTATATATATAATTTTTTCAAACAAACAGAAAAAATGACAAAAAAAAAAAAAATATTACTGAATCAACTTGTACACTTGTAACAGAGGAACAAACTGTTAAAAGGTTGTGTTTGGCAAGCATATAAGCTTAGCTTATAACTTATTTGATTAGCTTATAAACTTCGTGTATTCAAATAATCTTGATTAGGAAGGATGAGCTATTTTAAAAAGCTCTAGCTTATCTCATAAGCTTCATTGGATAGCTTTTCAAATAAGCCAATTGAAATTTTTATTTCAGCTGCTTAACACAACTAATTTTACCAAACACTTTCATCATATAAGTTAGTTTTTCAGTCATAAGCTATTAACTACAAACTCAAAATTCACTTAAACTCTATAAACTACCTTACCAGCTAGGTTTACCATAGTCTAAATTTGATTATTTACAAATTTTGTTTTGATCCAGGTGTTGCTTGGAAAAATATCAACGGGGGCCCAAAACGATCTGGAGAAGGTGACCAAGATGACGTACGCACAGGTGGCAATATACGGGTTCAGTGAGAAAGTGGGCCTGTTATCCTTCCCCCAGAGGGATGATGGGCTTGAGATGGGCAAGCCCTATAGCAGCAAAACTGCTGCAATCATAGACAATGAGGTCCGGGAATGGGTCGGCAAGGCTTACACCCGTACGGTCCAGCTCATAGAGGAGCACAAGGACCATGTGGCCCAAATTGCCGAGCTTCTGCTCGAGAAGGAGGTCTTGCATCAGGATGACTTGGTCCGGGTATTGGGCCAACGCCCATTCAAATCGAGTGAGCCCACAAATTACGATAGGTTCAAACAAGGTTTTGAGGAGGAGAGTGGAGATAGTAGTAAAGCTGCAGACGATAGTAATGAACGTTCGGGTCCACTGGAGCCGGATATTATTCCGGCTTGATTTTTTTGTGGGTGTGTTTGATTATTTGTAAAAGGATTTTTCTTTCTTTTTTTTCCCCTTTTGGGTCGAGTGAGCTGGTTCGTGGTTTCTTGCTTGATGATGTTAATAACAGAAATCGTTTTCTTTCCTCTGTTGTTGTGAGGCTGATGCCCAGTTGGACTTGAAATAAGCTATTGTGTTAGAATATACAAGTGAGTTGATCTGGACCTTTTTGGTTGATTTCTAAACTCTTTCTTGCTTGTGATGGGTTTTGGCTTGGATTTGGTGAGTAGACAGTGGCTAACATGTGTGTAAGATTTATTTATTTATTTATTTTTTTCATGCAGTTGTTTAAGAAGTAAGATGTTGGTTCATAGGTGTTCAAACTCAGCCTTTGAGGTTCATCTCTTTTTGACTGCACATACTAATATCATTTTATTAGTAGTCTTGTTTAGGTTGGCCTAATCATTAGGCGGTATAATATTATCATTAAAAAATGTCATATTTTGGATAACTTAAGTATGGCAAAGTATGACATTTGATAGTATAAGTATGAATTTTTATTTAGAGTATGATAGGTCGATCTAGAGTATGATAGGTCGATCTTCCTAGCCGTTAGAACTTGTTTCAGGTAAAAAACTGGACATTCCAAATATAGTAGACTTCAAAGTGTCTTTTGGATTTCATTATTACCACAAGGATTGGTAATTGCCTCCTTTCAATGTTAATAATCTACTTAAAATCTAAAAAATTCTACTAATTGCTCGACCCAATAATTAGCTCGACGTATTTTTAAAAAAAAAAAAATGTACAATTTTTTGTTATAAAATGTCGTGCATTTTATCATAACTACGACAGATCGACTCGTCTAATAGTTACACGGGCACGCCGTGATAATTTGTGAAAAAATTATTACATTGCTGTCAAAACAAATTATTACTTAGGAGGCATGGAGATAAGGTGATTGGTCATGGTGAAATCTGAAATGGATAAGAAAATCATAGCCCAAAACCTTGTGATATGCCAACATCTATAATATTGTAAGACAACCCTTGTATTATATTTCCTTTGATAACCTCCAAGATTTTTGCAGGCCTCGAAGGTTCTTTTTTATCCGTCGACGACGGCCGGTAAACGGAACTTTCGCCGGGTAAGTAGCGTTTGGCCATGACACGTGTCCCATTCACGGCGTCGTGTCAAAATCCCACCAAATGCTGTCTATTTAACAGAATAAATATCGGCACTACTAAAAATTCAGAAATCTCTACTATTTTCCCCCTTCCATTTTCGCCTCCCATCACGAAAGCTAAAAACTTTAGGCGAATTTCAGTGGTTGCGATGTCGGACTTGAGCAAAAGCACCGTTCTTGTCACCGGCGCCGGCGGTAGAACCGGTAAAAATTCAGTCTTGAACACTTTTTTAAGCCCTTTTTTTTTGCTCTATAAATTGTTTGCATTCTGCAAATGTGTTTTGTGCGGTTTGTGGGTTTTGATGTTTGAGCTGTACTTTTTCGATCGTACGAGGGTTTATTTGGGTGATTTATATAATATTGGAGATCAATTGAGCTGATCTTTATGTGGATAGTTGATGGATGTTCTTTTTGGGTTTTGAAAATTAATCAATACTTGTCTTAGAACTCAAATTGTTGGTCGGTTTTAGGATTATGTTGTGAAAATTTAGGAACATAAAACGAAATTATAGATTTGCTTGCTGATTTCTGTAACTGCAACTAGCTTGTTTTGTTTTGTTTACAAGTGAGACGGTCTAACCGGTCGATGGGTCGACATATCCTACTTATTCAACAAAAATGAATTTTATGCTATGAATTGTCGTACTTTTGTTCATGTTGTTTTTTAGAGTATGACATCTCAATTTGAAAGTATGTATTATCTGTTTAAAAAGTCGTATCTCTTTATAACGGTTAGACCCGCCTAACAACAACCTTTCTGTTGTTTTCGTAAGAAGATGACTAGATGAGAAATCGAGAGTCATTACTGGTTAGCATCCCTACTGTCTCATTTCCTAAGGTTCCTGCACTTTCATTAGTTATTTTCAGAACATGTATTTGTAATTTAGGGGGTGATTATTTATTGTTTCAACTAAAAAAAAACAATCAAAATTCAAATTTAACTCAACGTTTAACTCAAACCCACTATTCTCAATATTATTAATATAATCAAATAATATCAACCAATCATTCTTACACATCACATCAACTTTAATTCACTATTCATCCACTCACATAATTTTAACTAATCATCTCTTCCAATCATTTTTCTCCTACTTTATATCAATCAGCTTTAATTATTCTGTTTAAATATTATTTTAATATATTCACTAACAACTAACCATACCACATTTTTTCAAAATTAACTATAGTTAAAAAACAAACCAAATAAAAACTAGTTGAATCCATAAACAATCAATGTTTTTCCTTCTTCTGAACTTGAATTTATTTTATCTAATTCACACTTTATGTACGCATCAGTTGTCTTATATTGTGTTTTAGAGTGTGTTTGTTAAGTATCATAAGCTAGTTTTATAGCTTATGTGGTTAGCTTGTAAGGTTTCTGTATACAAATAAGCTTGGTTTGGTAGGACGGACATGTTTAAGAAGCTCGAGTTTATCTCATAAGCTTCTTTGGGTCGTTTTATTTCAGCTGGCTTATCAACTAAACACTTTTATCATATCAGCTAGCGTAGGACGGACATGTTTAAGAAGCTCGAGTTTATCTCATAAGCTTCTTTGGGTCGTTTTATTTCAGCTGGCTTATCAACTAAACACTTTTATCATATCAGCTGGCAAACTTTTTTGCCATAAGCCATAAGGTATCAGCTATAACCTCAAAATTCACTTATATCCTATATCCTATTCAGTTAGCTTATGGCTAGTTTTACCAGAAACATAGCCTTAGCTTTAGCTTTCCTGCCAGCACAATTATGTGAATCGTGTAAAATGTCAGAAAAATAAAAAATCCTCCCAACACAATCATGTAATTTGCTCGACTTTTGCAGGCCAAATTGTTTACAAGAAGCTCAAGGAGAGGTCGGACCAGTACACTGCTCGAGGCTTTGTGAGAACTCAAGAGAGCAAGGAAAAAATCGGTGGAGAAGATGATGTTTACATTGGGGACATAAGGGATAGTGACACGTTAATTTCGCCTATTCAAGGTATAGATGCTCTTGTTATACTCACGAGTGCCGTCCCCAAGATGAAGCCCGGGTTTGACCCGTCCAAAGGCGGACGACCCGAATTCTATTTCGAAGATGGTGAATTCCCCGAACAGGTTTTATACCAATAGCCCTATTGGTGGTTTGTTTCATTTGTTTGTTTAATCTTAGTTAATGTTATGTTGTCTGTTTGGTTTGTTTTTAGGTCGACTGGATTGGGCAAAAGAACCAAATAGACGCTGGTAAGAACTTAAGAAGTGAAATTATGGATTCTTATGCAAAATGCTTGTTTTGGTCTTAGACTAAAGAATCGATATTATGGATCAAAATACTCAAATTCTTACTAAGAATTTCTAAAACTAAAAAACCATACCTAAAAAGTGAAATTTACGGATTCTTATGCAAAATTCTTGATTTTGATCTTAGACCAAAAAATCGACATTAGGGATCAAAATACTCAAATTCTTACTAAGAATTTGAAAATAATTTCTAAAACTAACAAAGATGTTTGTTTTATGATTCCAGAATAAAATCCACCAAATTATCCCGAAGTTTTTTTTTATCGGATGGGAATGAATGAAATTGCGGACTCTTATGGTTCTTTTTTTCTTTGTTTTTGTATGATCCTTTTTTTTTTTTTTGAATGCATATTGAACAGCTAAAGCTGCTGGAGTGAAGCAGATTGTGTTGGTCGGGTCAATGGGAGGAACAAACCCAAATCACCCGTTAAATAGCTTGGGAAATGGAAATATCTTGGTTTGTTGACATTGTTATCCTTTTTTTTTTCTTTTTTCTCGTTTGACCCTTTATTCTTCGGCATTCGTTTGTTCCTATTTAGCTTTCTCAATAAAAAATGATAATTACTCGAAGTTTTTATCCTCTTTGCAGGTTTGGAAGAGAAAGGCCGAACAATACTTGGCCGACTCAGGAATACCATACACCATAATTCGGTATATGAACACGAATTATAATATAAGTTGCGAATATCTATTGAGGCTTTTTTTTTTCACTTTTGTTTCTCATCATAGCTTTTGATTTTAAGGGCCGGAGGGTTGCAAGATAAAGAAGGCGGTATAAGAGAGCTGTTAGTGGGAAAAAACGACGAACTTC